ATAACTGCCCTTCTGCTTTTGCTCCAGTTGTCTTATCAAAGCTTGGCAGAAGTTCTTGGCTAGTCGCCGCAGACTTTCTGACATCCGCTCATTCTCTGTGTGCAGGCGATTTTGCTGGGTGACGGCTAGACGGAGGAATTAGATGAATTACAGCTTGGAATTGGAGGTCGAAGAAGAGATGCCAGGATCTTTCAGTAAACTTTACTTTCCAGAAAGCAATCTCCATAGGAAGTGTTTACTAGATGTGTGTGTGTGTGTGTGTGTGTGTGTGTGTGTGTGTGTGTTTATATGTGCGTACATAAATGGATCAGGAAAGTGAGGTATAAGAACCGGGCACCAATAGCTCCTGCCTGTCACCCCCGCTACTCAGGAGGCTGAGATCTGAGGACTGCGGTTCAAAGCCAGCCTGGGCAGGAACGTCTGTGAGACTCCTGTCTCCAATGAACTACTCAGAAAAAGTCAGAAGTGGTGCCATGGCTCAAGTGGTAAAGCATCAACCTTGAGCACAAAGAGATCGGGGCAATGCCCAGGCCCTGAGTTCAAGCCCCAGGACCAGCAAAACAAAGCAGAAGGACAAGAATACAGTAAGTACACAAGCTACCCGTGACATCGTAAAACTGCGCAGTTAGATTTACAGGAACAAGGACACAATAGTTCAGCAGGCGACGTCAGAAGAAAGAAAGGGTTGGGCTAGATTGAGCTTCGATGCAGACAGGGAGATGGAGATTTCACGATGAATTTTGGCAAATCCTGCACTGGCTGGGTTCTTAGGATATTCGGGAGCGGGGAGGTGAGAAAAAATACTTTCATACGCTCACTTAGATCCAGACCGAGGAAGATTGTAAGGCCTAGTTTTCCAATTTTCATTCATGAAAAATAGAATGGGAACTGATTAGGATCCGCGGGGAATAAAAGGTCAGAGTTCTCTTCTATGGGGCACCTCTATTGGCAGCTGTGTCTCTGCAGAACACGGGGAAGGAATCGTGGCAAACGGATCGTTAATGACTGCTTAGCAGGGGACAGTCCTATCCTTACACACTAAATGCCCCGGGTCAAATCATTGCAAAGGATTTCATACGTACACACGATTCCCAGCACCACCAGTCCGACCAGCATGCCCACGGACAGGACGAGCAGAATGAGAGCCGTCACACGCCACCAGGAAGAGGAAACAGCATCAACTGCAAGCGTATAACCAATGAAAACAGGCCTGGGAGAGTGGCTCCGGGGTAGAGCGCTCGCCGAGCGCGCGTGAGGCCCCGGGTTCGATTCCTCAGCACCACAGACACAGGAAAAGCCAGAAGTGATGCTCAGGGGCAGTACCCCAGGCCCTGAGTTCAAGGCTCAGGTCCGGCAAGATAAGATCAAACAGTCAAAATGCCATGTTCATGGTGCCCTTACTTTCCCCAAGATTTTCCACGTGTTGTGAACAGCCGATGTGTCAGATCTGTTTGTGGGGCAGGCCTGGGGCTCGAACTCAGGGCCTGGGCGCGGTCCCCGAGCCCTTAAGCGCTCAAGGCTGGTGCTCTACCCCTTGAGCCACGGCTCCGCTTCTGGCTTTTTCTGTGACTAACTGGAGTTCAGAGTCTGGCAGACTTTCCTGCCCAGGCTGGCTTCTCAGAGCTCAGCCTCCTGGGTAGCTGGGTGGACGGGCGTGAGCCATGATGGCTCCCACACGTTGGCTCTTTGATAAACATCACCCTCCCTGAGGCCCGTCTCTGGCCCCGTGTGTGGCCGGCAGGGAAGGCCTCACCGAGCCCGTACCCACGCTCATCCGTGACTCCGTCAGAACAACTGGACAGAGCAGCAAACAGACGGGTGCCGGGTGCTGGGAGTGAACCCAGCCCAGGAGGCTGGGCTCACAGGAGGATCACAGGGCAGTCTGTGAGAGGCTGTCTCCAATGAATCGCCAACGAAGCTGGAATGGAGGCGTGACTCAAGCAGCAGAGGGCCCGCCAGGTGACGGAAGAGCCTGGAGTCCAAACCCAGGTCTGCCAAAAACACATTTTTTTTTTTTTGCCACATCTGGGTTTGAACTCAGGGCCTGGGCGCTGTCCCTGAGCTTCTTCTGCTCAAGGCTGGTGCTTTACCACCTGAGCCACAGCACCCCTTCCGGCCTTTTCTATTTACGGGGGTACTAGGGAATCGAAACCCAGGGCTTCCTACATGCTAGGCGAGCACTCTACCACGGAGCCACCTGCCCAGCCCAGGGGGGACAAAAAGAGAAAGGAAATAAAAAACTATAAATAAACAAAAACAAAAATAGGATAGCATCATGTTATTAATAACACAAAGAGAAATAAACCAGCTGATAAATAAGAATCAATGAGATCAATAAAAGTATACAATACTCCTTTATAATAGCCATAAAAACATTTTTAGAAAGGAAGACAGAGAGGAATAAACATTTCAAAAAGAAAGGAAGAAGCAAGAAGGAAAGAAAGAAAGAGAGAAAGAGAGAGAGAAAGAAAGAAAGAAAGAGAGAGAGAAAGAGAGAAAAAGAAAGAAAGAGAGAGAAAGAAAGAGAGAGAAAAAGAAAGAAAGAGAGAAAGAAAGAAAGAAAGGAAGAAAGGGAGAAAGAAAGGGAGAAAGAAAGAAAGAAAAAAAGAGAGAGAAAGAAAGAAAGGAAGGAAGAAAGAAAGGGAGAAAGAAAAGGAGAAAGAAAGAAAGAAAGAAAGAGAAAGAAAGAAAGGAAGGAAGAAAGAAAGGGAGAAAGAAAGAAAGAGAGAAAGAAAGGAAGAAAGAAAGAAAGAGAGAAAGGAAGAAAGGAAGAAGAAAGGGAGGAAGGAAGGAAGGAAATGGTGTGTTCGGTTACTCTTCCCTGGCTCACGAAAAAGTGCTCCTAGCGTTCAATCCCCCGCGTCTTCTGGGACGCGAGCCCTCCAGCCTCAGAGAGAAACAGAACGAAGAAGGCAGCAAAGAAAAATGAGAGACACCCGGCCCCTCCCTAGTAGAGGAACACAAAGGAGAGAGGGCCCAGCAAGCTGGGAGCCGTTCAGCGCCCTGGAGCGGGTCCTGGGGCGGCTGGGAACCCCTTACCCGGGCGGGGGGCCGGCTTTCGGGGCTTGGGGTTCAAGGTCATGTACCCATCTTCATCCTGCATGGTTCTCCTGGCCCTGCGGGTCTGTCCAGCAGAGGGTCTGAGCCAAGCCCTGTCCCGGGTGGGAGGGCAGAGTCCCCAACACGTGGCCCCGTCTCCCAGCAGGAGACAGAGGCGTGGGACTTGTGTGTGTGTGTGAGTGTGCGTGTTGCGTGTCTCCTTTTATTTTTCCAGGAAGCTGCTTCCTGACGCTTCGGAGATCAGGGGCCTTGAACCTAAATATGCTCCCGCTTGGTGGCAAAGACCAAGATAGGCTGTTTGTTTCCTGTTTTCTTATCTGCCATTCGGAACCTAGGGCAATTTGTCCCTGGGTCCTTTTAAAGAGCAAAACAACTTCACGCTGCGTCGTAACCCAGCCGAGTGGGAAGGGTTCTTTAGATGGGTTGTTATTTTTAAGTCAGTGGTGGGGCTTGAACCCAGGGCCCGGTGGTGGGCGCTGCCCCTGAGCTTCTTTGGCTCATGGCTAGCGCTCTACCCTTGGAGACGCAACTCCACGGCTGGTTTTCTGGTGGTTTTCTTGGAAGTGAGCGTCTCACTGACTTTGCTCACCAGGCTGGCTTTGAACCACAATCCTCAGATCCCAGCCTCCTGAGCAGCTAGCATAGCAGGCGCCCGGCTGATTGCTTCTATGAGTTGAATAAGCTCATTTCATAAATTGCCTGAACTACTGCAGATGGACTGAGCTTATTTTACTATTTGCACTAGCGTGAGCGCACACTCACTCAGCTGATTCTGACGCCTTCCATTCTGCCCTGTCCACCTTTGGATTCTCTCTTTCCCCGCCCCCTTCCAAATCCCAGTTGTGGTCAAAGCAGATCCCTGTACTAAACGTTCAGTACCTCATCCGCCACACGGAGACAACTCTGCAACCAGGGCCGGCATCCTTTCCCTTGTTTGTTGGTTGGTTGGTTGGTGATGGGGTTTGAACTCAGGGCCTGGGCGCTGTCCCTCAGCTCTTCAGCTCAAGGCTGGCGCTCTACCACCTGAGTCACAGCGCCACTTCCGGTTTTCTTGGTGCTTCCTTGGGGATCAGAGTCTCACGGACTTTCCTGCCCAGGCTGGCTTTGAACCGCCATCCTCAGATCTCAGTCTCGTGAGGAGCTAGGATGATACGTGTGAGCCACCAGGCATTTTTCTTTCCAACTTTCTTATTATCTGATCCACTGGATTATTTGTCATGGTGCTGAACATTATCCTTTATTTGAAAAGTTTTGTTTTTCCACCCACGACTCAGATTCCTTTGGGAATGAGGCGACACTTGGGAAGACTCTTGGAAATCCAAACGTAGCATAAATCCAACTTATTTCCACACTAACTCCAAACGAAAATGAAAATAAAAAGTGCTAGACCTCCTCCCTGGTTCTTAACAAACGTGAAGGTTCGTGAGAATGTTAAATATACAACCTCAGCTCTGGAGCTGGCCTTCTTCTCTCCACCAACAGAGCTGATGATTGTTTCCAGCCATAAGCAGGACACGCTATTCTGCCCCCATTGGCCTGTGACTATTTTTTCCTAAGCCTTGTGTCAGTCGGAAGGCTCTTCCTCTTTCTGACAGAAGGAGACGAATGACCTCATCTCCCAGAGCTCAGCCCTGCCCGCTTCCCTTCCCCCTCCTCCCTCCTGTCTTCCATCTCTGCCCCTCTCTCCACGGGTCTCTTCCGGCCTTCCTTATCTTCCCTTCCCCCTTCCCCCTTCCCCCTTCCTCTCTCTCTCTCTCTGCTCTGTTTGTTTATGTCTGGATTGATCTCTCTATTTGTGCAATCCTGACTTAAACTTCGAGCTCCAATTCGTTGATCCAACAGGAATAACTCTATAAACAATAAACGTGACCAACATAGTTACCCACGGCGGGAAGAGAAGTAATTTCAATGCAGATCGGCAGCTCTTAATTTAAAGCAGCATATTTGATCGTACTTGGGTGATACATAGAGACATATTCATATATATGTATTATATATACTGTATATTATGTAGCATAAAATGCGCATGTATATATAGTTACATATAGTATATATATAATATGTATATAATATTTATAATGGATTACATTGAAATTCTTTCTTTTTTCCTTTTTGGCATTAGTGGGGCCTGAGCTCAGGGCCTGGGCGCCGTCCCTCAGCTCTTCAGCTCAAGGCTGGCGCTCTACCACTTGAGCCACAGCACCACTTCTGGCTTTTTCTGTGTATGTGGCACTGAGGAATTGAACCCAGGGCCTCATGCATGCAAGGCCAGCGCTCTACCACTGAGCCTGGCTCTACACTTAAATTCTTTAAGCCATACGTTGAAGGAACCTCCATGTAAAGCTATGTTATGTATTCATTGTAAGGCTATCATAGGGTGAGGGCATTCTCTATTTGAGGGTACTGTGTATATGTGTGTGTGTTTGTATACATATATACTTTTATGTATACTTTATATATACATTATATATTGTACATCTACACCTAGATTATTGTATTCACATATAATATACATAAAGTATATATGTATGCTGTGTATACATGTTTTATACTATGTAATACATGCATATTCATATATACATACGCGTCTATGTGTGTACGTATATATGTATATATATGTTCCCAGTAAATTCCAACCTCTGTTCATTCTCTGCCGCCTCCTTGTGGCCATTGATTTATCTGCATTGTTTGATTTTGGTTTGTCTCCGTTAGGACTTGGTCCCTTGGGGACTGTGATCATTACTTTATCTATTTCTTTTTTTATAAATGATTTTGAGTTAATTCCAATGCTGGTACCCTTCGCACATTAGTTAATTTAGGCTTCTGCGACATAAACACAAAATGAGAGAGCAGAATGGTGGGTGAAGAACCTAATGAATACATATAAATTCCAATTTTCTCATCCAAGTTAAAGGTCTTCTTTACTTTTCACAGTGTCAGTGAAGCTATATCATGACAATAAATCCAAGTTGATTAGAGTGTATTCATGCTTTCCATATCTTGCTGGAGTTAATATTCTCAGGCTTCCTATAAGATTGAAAATTTCTAGGTCATCTGTAGGAAAACAGAAAAAAAAACTTAAAATTGTAGATTTCAGCCAGGCACTAGTGGCTCACACTTGTAATCCTGGTTACTCAGGAAGCTGCGGTATAAGGATCAGGGTTCGATGACAGCCTGGGTAGGAAAGTCCATGAGATTCTTACCTCCAATGAATCACTTAAAAATCAGAAGTAGAGTTGTGGTTCAAGTATAGAGTGCTATCATTGTTAACATCTTCACACATGTAAAGGCTGAACTCCAGGTAATTTCACCCTCTTCCCTCCTTTCCCTGTCCCCTTCGCCCTGAAAAATAGCATCTCCAATGGATCTTCTCATTGCAGTTTTATAGTTGCAAATAATCTGTTGCAATAGTTTTCTATCTTTTTACAAACTCATTTTTTTTGCCTCAAAGAGCTGATTTTTGAAGATGTGGTAGACTCCGAACCTTGACTTATTGACATGAAACCCCTTTATATAACTACATATTTTCTTAAAACCTGGTTTTAGGTATTTATACATTATACAATCATGTGCATTGGTGCTATAGACAGAATGGAAATTCATGTCTTGTTCAGAAGAGCTCAAGAGCCATACCTTGCCAATAAAAACAAACACATTCTGAAAGTGAAAGGCTGGAATAAAATCTACCAAGCAAACGGCCCCCATACACAGGCGGGAGTTGCAATCTGAATATCAGATAAAATAGACTTCAAATTAAAATTTGTGAGAAGAGATAAAGAAGGTTGCTACATACTAATTAAGGGATCTCTCCTTCAGGAGGATATTACAATTCTAAATCTCTATTCGCCAAACAATGGAGCACCCAAATTTATCCAAGAAACACTACTTTCCCTCAAATCCCACATAGTTCCAAAGACATTAATTGTTGGGGATTTTAACACACCACTCTCCCCACTAGATAGATCAACTGGGCAAAAACTCAACAGAGAATCCACAGATCTAAACAACTGCATAGATCAACTAGATTTAACAGACATCTACCGAATATTTCACCCAGCAGCATCAGAATCCACGTTTTTCTCTGCAGCACATGGAATATTTTCCAAAATAGAACACATTTTCGGCCACAAAGCAAACTTGTACAAATTCAGAAACATTGAAGTTATTCCTTGCATTCTCTCAGACCACAAGGGAATAAAATTACAACTCAACACCAAAAGCCACCAAAGAAAGTCCTGTAACACATGGAGGCTGAACAACACACTGCTGAATCACGAGTGGGTCATGGAAGAAATTAGAAAGGAAATTCAAATGTTCATGCTATTCAACAAAAATGAATACACACAAATTACCAGCTCCTCTGGGACACAGCAAAAGCATTACTCAGAGGCAAGTTTATAGCTCTGAGCTCCTACGTCAACAAATTGGAGAGATCTGAAACTAACAGCTTAATGATATATTTGTAGCTCTTTGAAAAAAAGCAGCAAGACGAACCCCAATCCAGTAGATGGAAACAAATGAAAATTAAATCAGAAATAAATAGATTAGAATCCAAAAAAACCATAGAAAGAATCAACAAAACAAAGCATTGGTTCTTCAAAAAAATTAACAAAATTGACAGACCCTTAGCAAATCTTATCAGAAAAAGAAGAGAACACACCCAAATAAATAAACTCAGAGATAAGAATGGAAACATCACCACAGAAACAACCAAGATTCAGAACATTATAAGGGAATACTTCTCAAACCTTTATACTAATAAGTTTGAGAATCTGGATGAATTGGACGATTTCCTAGCAAATATCGACCAACATGCCAAAACTTAACCAAGATGAGTTAAGCCAACTTAACAAGCATCCCAATAGAAAGAGCAATAAGAGACTTCTCATCTAAGAAAAGCCCAGGACTGGATGGATTTACAGCAGAATTCTACAAGGACTTCAAGAGAGAGCACACACCAGTACTCCTCTAACTCTTCAATGAAATTGAAAGTGAAAGTTCACTATGAAGCCATCGTAACCCTCATCCCCAAACCAGGCAGGGACTCATCAAAAAAAGAGAACTATAGACCCATTTCTTTGATGACCATCGATGGCAAACTTCTCAACAAAATTTTGGCCAATCGACTTCAACAACTCATCAAAAAAATCATACACC